GGGCTTACGATACACGCCAGTTTCCAACCGTCCTCCATCCGAAACCGAGACATCGCAATCCAGGAACAAACAGGATAGGTAAAATACAGGATAGGATACAGTAAAAACTGTATTTCATTTGTCAGGCACAGTCTGAAAAAAAGAAATATAATCAATAAATTTTGCATCAAAGCAAATCTGCTTCTGGATGCATTTTTTGCAAGAGGRCAAATTTGACTACAAACAGCTCTGGCATGTAAGCTACGTACAGTCATAGGCTACAATGACAAGCAATGGTGCACTGATTCACACAAGAGTGCTGTATTTTGTATTTTGTTGCCCATTGTGTACTGATTGTTTGGAGGTGCTCATACATTGTATCAAAGTTGAGTGGTTTGAAGGCAAAATTAGCTTTTGTTCCATATTTTAAATGTTTTGACACAGTTGTTGCCTTTTGCAAGCAAAAATGTGTCATTTTGACCACCGTGTCAATGTTTAGGCCTCTGCGTTAACTGTTTTGAAAATGTGGTTTTTGAGTTGACGGCGGCATCAAACCAATCAATAAAAACTGTAATGATTGTTTTATGATAGTTTACAGTAAAACATTAGATTTATATTTGCATTTTTTTTCTTATTCTCCCTCCAGCTTTCTGAGGCCTTGGTAACATGGCTGTAAAACACAAGTCCACAGATATGAAATGATTTTTCCTTACTGTTAATGGTAACTATTGTTTGTTTGTTTTACTTATAATGGCACGTTTGGCAAATTATGGAATTGCCTCAACAAGTGAATCCAAGTGCAGAAACAGGGGTGAGTTTTGAAGAGCTAAATGCGCCGTTTTGTTTAACTGAAAAACAAGAAACATGAACTCAGCAAGACGTGCTATCAGATGAAACACAGATTATGAAACTTCTTCTGAGGTATGGCAAAACAAGTTCATAGTTTATGACAAATTGAATAAAAGGGGTATAAAAATCAAAATTGCACAGGTGGGGGACTAAACCTAAAAATTGTATTGAAAGGAAATAAGATTACATTTTAATACTAAAAGATAAATCAGATTTTACATGTAAGAAAAAAATACAGAATCACAGAAGCAGTCATGGATGGTTTGWGCAAAGTAAAGACTGGGGAAAAAATAAATACACTTTTATAGTTTTTTATAGTATATATTTTTATTTTATAATATTTGGTGAAGTGGTGGCATGCTGAGCAAAAACCATARAGTTCAAGGCCCGGCAGACCAACGAAAATAAAGCAGACTGAAACAAAACAGAGCAAACAGAAGAGAAGCTGTAATGACACGTATTTTTTTGAATTTATACCAGCAAGGGATAAAATAAATAACTAAAAAATAAATAAAAACAGACTGAAAATAAATAAAATGCAGAAGGAAACGAAATGTGGTTTAGACAATAAAACGGGAAGCAACGTTAWCTAGAGCAGAGGTTCTCAAACTGGGGCCCCGGGAGCCCCAGGGGTCGGCGAGAGGTATCTTGGGGGTCCTCAAAACATTTCACTAAATTGTTTATTTGGTTTTCATTTTTTAAAAATGCATGGAGAACAATGAAATAATAAAACAAATATAATAAACCTAATAAAAATATATATTTCCATGGCATTTAGGGGTTGAAATAACAATGAATTATCTTTTAAAACAGCATGGGGTTTATGAGAGGGTCCCTGGATTTTATCTTTTTTATTTTTATTTTTTGCCTTTGTAAGGGGTCCCCAGATCCAAATGGCTTGCTGATCTAGAGCACACAAAACTGACTAGAATGAAGAATAAAACATGACACTGAAGCTGGGAAATAAAGAAAACGTGATTTAAGATCTGTTTGGTTTAGATGACCCGTCWTACTGAGACATGAGGTCAGAGTTTAAACGTCTGCTGCAGGTTTTTCAAAGCAGTTCCTACTGTTTTCATTTCTTGCTGCTGGAGCTCAGTAAAAGTTGCCAAGGCTCATTTTGGCTGCATCCTTAAGAAATATTTGATTGAAAAGACCTTTTCTCTTTTTTCTCTCTCTCTCTCATGCTTGTAAGGCTCCTCAGGCAGGAGGGGAAAAGGAATGCAGAAATACCACWGTTTCTGTTTTTCAGAGAGCAAAGATCTGCAGAACATGATTCATCTCAATGAAATCACCACAATGTGAGGGGTAGACCAGTATGCAATGTTGTGTTGAGCAACATACTTTCATATGAGGCAACTGTATCAGTTTTGTGTAAGCAGCTTATCTCCACGTGGATAGAAAACACATGCTGGGTTTGCTTCTTTTTAAATTTTAAGACACAATTTGATTTTCTCTATTGATGTTTTGACTTTTTATTTTAATTTTGTAATGCTAAGCTGATGTGGAAAAATGCAAAAAGAATAATGGCAGATCTATTTTTTTTTCTGAGGATGAAGTGGGCATGATGTTCCAGCAGAGGGAGTTAAAGACACAACAAATGATAAACGTTCAAATGAGTATAATGTAAACCTATTAAAACCCACCCCTTATTCAAGATTTGTTAATGCAGGAAATATTTACTTTTGGACTTCAATGGATATGCATTCACCTTTTTTGTTTATGCATATGAATTACACAAATGTAATGTAACAACAATTAATTCAGTGTTTCAACAAGTGAGTTAGGAGAAAGATTGAAGTTTTGTGGAAATGTCAGTGTCACTGTGCAAAATGTAAAATATTATATTAACTAGCGGAAAAATAGGGTGGTAACTGGTAGCATTTTTTTTATTTTCTTTAAGTGATTGCTGCCACTCTTTGTCACCCCATAGAGCTGCCACTGTGTACAGATTTTTTTTTCTTTTCATTAAATGAGTTTTCCCTTCTTTAAATATAATATCAGAAACTTTTGTAATTTTTTTATTTTGTGATATGTCAAGTTTCTTTTACATTAATGCTATAGCAGCATGTAAACAATAAGGCATGGTGTTTTAAGCTTTACTTTCCGCTGTTTCTTCGCTTCCGTGGACCGTGAACGCATCACCGCTGTGCTCCGTGCCACCAGAGGGCGACAACGAGCTCGAGCAGGAAAAACAGCGCGCGGGCGGCGTCACCTCACAGGCTCCAGTCTGGTTGTCATGTGCCATTCAGACTCGCTGGAGGTCAGCTGACACATCGCTTTCGYGTGTGATGTTTACTTTCTTTGTCTTAGCAGTGGTTAATTAAAGGTTTAATTGAATGAATGCGTCGCTATGCTTCACCCCGGAGAATCATGGTAGTCGTGAACTCGGTGTTAAAGCTGTTGCAGAGGCAGACGTACACCTGTCTGTCCCACCGGTATGGACTCTACCTCTGCTTCGGGGGGCTCGTTCTCATGATTGTTTCCGCATTTCAGTTTGGAGAGGTAAAAGTCTTTCGTTTTTAAAGCTTCCAGCACTTTAAGATGATTAGTTTTGTTGTGGGACCAGCTACTTTTTTCAGTTATCAAAGTAGCACGGAWATCTGGACTCCCTGTGACCAGACTTCACACAAAAAACCCGCATTTTTAATTCATCTGCGTTTTGAAACCCAAATATTAATTTTACATATTAAATAACGATGTGTCATGAATCAGTTTAGTGTTGAGAACAATTCGTCTTGATAAATATAATTATTTTCAATCCTGTTGATAAGTTAATCTATGTCTTTCTAC